GCCGATCAGCTGTTCGGCGGCTCCAAAATGGCCGCCGGAGGCCCCAATCGTCGCAAAGCGAGTGCGGCGATTGGGGCTGATCCGTATAGCGATCCCCAAAAAGGGATCGCTATACGGATTCTTCGTTAAACGGTGTGCTCGTTAAGAGAGGCACCACTGTATTGGCAAATTAATTATATATAAATTAATTAAATATAAAGCTAGAACCACAAATCCAAACCCTCAGTGAAACTTTTTGGGCCACGTTATACCTTTTGTACTTAAGGAGCCTTTCTCCATCTGATTTCAGTTGCTCTTTTAAGTGTTTTCCATATCACAAATATATAAGTAATATATATTCATCAAATACATAAGTACAGTAATATAAAGCTAGAATCACAGATCCAAACCCTCAGTGAGACTTTTTGGGCCATGTTATGCCTTTTGTACTTAGGGAGCCTTTCTCCATCTGATTTCAGGTGCTCTTTTAAGTGTTTTCCATATCACAAAATATGGCCATAAGCAATGGGAGGAAATGAGTTATCATATGATAATTTGGCAATTTCCTTACAAAGTTTCAGAAAGGGTTCAAAGAACTGTTGGAACAAGAGCCATCTGAGACAAAAGCTGAAGCAATTAAGAAAATACATCAGAGAATAACAAAGCTTAGCTAATCTATTTAATGCATATTAGCATAGCATCAGCATAGTTCTGAAGCATATACAGAGTGCAACATAACAGGACAGCAACTCAGCATAGCATCTCCTGAGGGATAAGCTAAGCCAACCCAAATAACTTCTGAATTCCTTTTTATATATTAAACGTCACATTCTGGACCTTCCCAGACCAATCAGGCTTTGAGTTCCCTTGAAAATTCAAAAAGACAAGAACGCTTTCTGCCCCTCCCTTCACACAGTTAAAGTCATTCTCCAATTATCACAGTAACAGAGAACAAGCTGACTGGACCTTGAAGGCCTCTCTCACAAGACATAAACTGCAGGAATCACTCCCTTCTCCTTACTGAGTAGTCACGGTCTTTTACATTCCCTGCCAGCCATTCCCAGGTACTGACAAAGAAGCCTGAACATGGAGTTAATGTTCCATGTTCCCCCAGTTTCTTCACAGCCAGCACACACAGTGGGGAGGTTCAGTGTACCCCCCTTCCACATTTGGAGACATTCCAGAATCTGGAAAAGCAGCTCCTCATTGCCATTGCTGACATCACTTTTATTTCTGAAACTCCCATTTATTTGTATTCACAAGCTAAATTATAGCCAAAAAGAGAGAGGCTGATATGACCGGTAGTCATTCTGTGGACGGCATGTGGCCCTAAAGCCCCTCCCTCCATTTTAGGCCCCATATAGCAACTACAGAATGCACCCTTGATGTTGCTGAAAACATCAAATTATAGCCCCCAAAAAAGAGAGAGGCAGATATGACCAGCAGTCATTCTGCTGATGGCATGTGGCCCTCTCCATCCATTTTAGGCTCCATATCGCAACTATAGAATGCACCCTTGATGTTGCTGAAAACATGGTGTTTCCTATCGTTGCTGTTGTGTTCCCTAGAGACAGGCAGGGGAGTGGCAAGTCTTCGTCCCCCTCGATGATGTGGGAGGATGGTCCTTCATACCACAGAATTGCTGCTGTTCATACCAGGTTTCAGCATAAAAAGATGCAGGGTTTCCAGGGTTGTGGGCAGCAATGTAGCTCTTCATAGCATGAAGTTGCTTGCCCCAGGATGACTGTAAAGATGGGAAATGACCACAGTCCAAGAAATGTCCCAATTAAAACTATTGTATCTAACCCTTCACCCAGGAAAAAAATTGTGTAAAGTTGAAATCTTTCTATCGCAAATTAAATGGAAGTCTGCAAGCAACAAATGTGGCATAATGAACTCTGCAAGCATCATGGGGGCTACTTTACATGACCTCTGGACTTGTAGTGACAGCTTTCATTTGGCTGTGAAGTACTTCTCAGAGTCCGCCCAGATACCTACTGAGCCCTGTATGCTGACGCCAAGCTGCAAAAAGTGACAGAGATACATTTGTGAGGGATCCGAATGTGTGGTAAAATAGTGACCTGGCTTCTGTAAAATGAAAACCCACTATGTTTTGATCAGGAATCAGCCAGTCATCACACAAGCCAAAGCCTTAAAACAAACAAACAAAACGGGAACAAAGTCTTCATCTCTTTCTTTCTTCCTCAGCCCATCTGTCAAGCAGCTTATAACAATGACCTCAATGAAGTTCAGCTCCTTCTGCAGGAAGATATCAATTATTTGAACATCCAGGACAGCTTTGGGGGAGATACACCGTTAATTTGTGCCTGCAAACAGGGACACAACAGAATAGCCAGTTACCTTCTGAAAATGAATGCTGATGTCAACATCAAAAATAAGGTATGCAGCAATGCCAGTCACATAGCTGTGACTTTCATGTGAAATAAATTCAGGGTTTGATTTCTCGGTGGCTATGGAACTCCCCTCTAAGGGAGGAGCTGTCCTTTCAGAGAACAATATTTTTATTTTAAAAGGTCTTTGGCATGAGATATTAATGGCACATATTACTATTTTGCTGTCATTGTCAGAATGTTTTCAAATGGTTTAAGTTGGGTTTAAATGGTTGTAAACTTAATGAATTGTGCATTTGTTTTGGTCTTATTATTTAATTGTGGCTGAAATCCTGTTATTTTGCTTAGTACGTCAGCCTGAGTATGCCCATTTGAATCAGTGGAATTTACAGAAGAGTTGACTCATCAAATCCCTATGGATTCAATGGACCTACTCTACTGCAATTTATTCCACTAAGCAACAGAATTTCAGCCACTGTTTCAATATTATGATTTGTTGCATTTCTTTGTTGTATTTTTTAAAAGCTCTGCTGTTTTTAAAACTTGTATTGGGCTCTGCAAATGGATGTGAATGAAGAAATAATATCCAGGAGAGAAGGAAAAAATTTCATTTTCACAGAAGGCATGTCCTTTTCATTGCATGGGCCAATACAATCTTATTACCTGAACATGGAGTGGATGGGCAGTCCTGAAAGTATGTATCCCTCCTTAACTCCAGCAGGCTCCCTACCATGCCTGTTCTTGTGGTCATTGGAAGATTGATCATACAACTGGTTTTGCAAGATGAAGCCTGACAATGCTGGGGGAGCGCTTATGCAGTTGCCCTTCTTCTCTGCATTTGGGCAATAGGATATACTAGTCATGACTAGATTAACATCTCTGTTCCCACATTATCCACTGTTTTGCAGATTTGCTGAGCTCTTGTGTATGTAGACTGTGAGTAATCTTCAAGTTTCTGGCTTGAGAAAAGAAGCTGTGCACCAATTGAAGGGTTTAAAACTTCCTCAAGTTTTATTAGATATTAAATACTGTATCTGCCACTGTGGAAATAGTGTCCCCTTGTCTAATTATTTGATCCAAGCTCAAAGGTCTTCTCTGTACCCCTGTGTGTGTCTGTATTTATCCACAGGACACCTCTCTATTAACATGTAACTCAGGCTGTGAGTAGATTGACAAACACTTTGGGATTTGCTTCATAATTAGCATGGGTGAATTCCAAGTATTTTTCAATGCTCACATGACACAAAGGCCAATGCAGATCAGCCCATCCCCTTTTTGCTTCTTATTTGGATGCTTTTCTCCTGCTGCTGAGGACCTCTACTTTTTAAAGACATGGGACGATCCAGATGATTCCCTTATGTGATTGTTTCATTCTACAAAAGGATGAGGGGCCATGACTCTGGGTGGTGTTACGATGATGTATTAAGCTGGGATGTGATGTTTTGGATCACCCACCCTGCAATCTTTCTCCCTAGTCATCCTTAAGTATTTAACAATCTTTTTTTCACATAACTACCAAGTTTAGCACTAGATCGTCTTATCTATCACTGCATCGATACATTAGTTTAGCACTACATGATCTCTACACCGATAAAAGAAAAAGAAGGAAAGTCAAGGATCACCAGGAGGGTGGTATCAAAGGAAGGGGACTGATGGGCTACAGACAAGTATTAAATCAAGCCATCAAGTAACTATTCCTGCAAATATTGCACAATATCTATTTATGCATTAAATATGGACCTCTCGCTCTCTTTCTCTTATATGCAATGACACAATAGCAATACCATGAGCTGAGAGCGAACCAAGCAGGATGATAGTCCTCCTTAGGCTCTTCAGCACTAGCGTCAACCCATAATAACCAGCTGTGTCAGATCCTGCCATACTGCTTTGTGATTTCAAGACAGCTGTCTTGGTTCCAAACTCCCCTTCTTAGGGGAAAGTGGGGAAATCTTGACCCAATTATGCCTAATATGTATAAAATAACGAAATTAAAATTCTGCTTTATAATAATTGCAGCTCTTCTGCTTTTTTCTAGAAAGAACGAACATGTTTGCATTATGCAGTCAAAAAACGATTTGGCTTCCTTGACTACTTGCTCATTATCCTCTTAATGCCAGTGATGCTCATTGGGTATCTGCTTATGGTAAGTTCATGTGGATCCAGTTAGGTGAGGAAGATTGGGATAGAAGCTGATGACAATACAAAGCAATGGCATTGGCAAGTCCGGGCTGCAAGAAAACTCATACTATGATACATGTCTTTCACCACTTTAGGAATTCCTCCTTCTAGTGACATGCTATTTCTAATGTATAATTTGAATCTGATAAAAAAAAGAAAGAAAATTTAATTTGTACATGCTAATTTTTCTTTCTCTACTGTATGAACCTGTTTTGTATTATTAGAAACTTGAAAGGCCCATCTTTCACAGGAATCTCCTTTATCCTGATACAATTGTATGTTCCTTTAGGAAGTAGGAAAGGCAAAGTTGACTCCACTACATAATTACTTCATAGCATATACTGATTGGTTTTCAGATTAATCAATACAGAAAGCACTGTTTTGAGTTTCTTAACTATTGAGTTCCCACAAAGATCAGTTGACATGGAAAGGAATGTCTTACCTTTGCCAGGGCCCAATCATATTCTTCAGAGCCAATCTGCTAGTCTTGCATGATTGTTATGTGCAACAGCTGAACATGTGTGTTTTCCATAATAGCTGTGCAACCTAGAAAGCAACACGGCCAACCACAGCTTCCTAGCATCTAGGCAAGTACATGGAAATATCATGTGGAAGCACTTTATGTGCTGAAATTGTGAACATGCAATGTAGAATGTGCTTTAAATCTAGATTCCACAAAAATCATTGGAAGAAATCTATAAGTCAGGATGTAAAAAATGGTAATGCCAAGATTTAGTGTAACTGTGCATTGTATTTAACTGTGAGGCTGCAGATCAGATTCATGAAGCAACTTTCCCCCCGACCCTAGTTAATACTAGAAAGCATAAAGAAAAACACAGAAAGAGGGAAAGTACATACAATGTTAAAATAGTGCCACACCACTACTTCATTATCTGACCACATAGATTAACAGCTTTGCCAACGCTGAACCTTTCATAAATGTATTTCTGGTGATGTTCCATTTGTCTCTCATCTGATAAACAGGTATCCAAAAGTAAACAAAATGAAAACCTCATCAAGATGTTACTTAGAGCTGGTGTAGACGTCAATGCTACAGATAATGTAAGTTTTCCTCTTATGTGCATGGTTATAAAGGATTCTACAGTTCTGTCGGTGTTCTTAGTTAGATAGACCGTTGTCTGAAACAGGGGAGGGGAATGGAGGTAAATGTAAACATGGGGAAGAGTATTCATTATTTTAATTATACATGCTTAGTTACCTTAGGACATGGAAATAGGGACTGTGGAAATGGCTTCAAAACAGGTGTGTGGTTTGAGGAAGGATATGAAAGAAGTAATTTAGATGTTGATAAGGCAGGTGTTCTGGGGGGCAGTTCCAAATATCAAGAATACAAGTAGGGGAAAATAGCAAAGTCACTGGAGGGGTCAGGAAACCTGTGCAAATTATGCTGCTTACTGTACATCTGTTCTCAACTAGAAATAGGGGCATTTGTATTCATATATGAATATCCCTGCACAGCTGGAATTAACGAGAGTCCAGCCATGGGGCCAGACCGTCCCCTTATGTGTCTGGCAGCCCCGCTCATCCTTCCCATCACGCCCAAAGTGCTGCTCTCTTCCCAATTGGCTGGCCACTCCAGGCAGGGGAAGGGAGGATAGGTCTCCCTGGACGGCTGCCAAGTGGCCAGCCGAACAGGAAGAGAACAGTGTGATTGGAAGGATAAGTGGGTCCGCTGACGCCACCGGACACATGAGTGGACAGTCCAGCCCTGGGTGCCAGACCCTCATTAAAGGTCCTGCTCCTCCATCTCTATTCTCAACTCATTCTCCAACTATTGGTCCACCTTCAACTATTGGTCCAGCAAAGCGGGTGGAAAATGTTGTGAACATTTTTGGGCTTCTTGCAAAGTTCATTTTTAAAACAGCAGGAGCCCTTATTCTTTAAAAAGGTTGTCACGTGGGCTCTTGTATTTTCCTTTCATTCACTATATATAACAGATAGCTATTCTACTCAGGAGCAGGATGTTGGTTATGTTTCAAACCTTTTTAAGAATGGGCCTGGGGAGTCACTATGTAATGACACAGCATGATTCACAGCAATGTTGGTCAGGAAAGAAAATCCATGTGCATTCTCTATGCAGGAATCTATTATTCTCATTATTTTTGAATCGTTCATTTTCCAGTGAATGGTAAGATTGTCCTCCCAGCTCAGAAATTTGTATGTGTTCCTGTAAACATTTTCAGTTGTACTCATTTATTTTATTTTGAATTTTACTAATTTGTCCATACCTTCAAAACATGTTTGTGCACACTATGGATTTTTCATTGTGGGCCATTTGCAAGTTTATGCATGATTTCATGCACCATTTTTCTTCTGAATAATGAAAACAGGTGAAAAAAGAGCTTACAGAAACCCAATGAGTTAATGTTTTCTGAAAGCTTGCAGGTGGGAAATGCCTCTTATTTTTGTGAAATATGACTCCAACAAGTTTCTCACTCATCCAAAACTCACAGACCTCTTGTGAACTGTTGCAGGCACAGCACTACACAATCATACAGAAAAGCTGCAACTGCTAGTCATACAAGGACACCGTGAATGGCCCTTTTTAAAAACCCTGGGGAAAGACTGAGGCCATGTAAACCAGATCCTTTTCCTATTTCACTGAAACAAAAATTAATAAAAATGGATCCACTTAGTTCCCTACTACTTTAGATTCAAGGATAACTGAGAGTCAAACAAGCATTTGTATAAAAGGGGGAAAAAGTTTATTGAATAAAACAATGGTAAAAATGATGCACTAAATTTTACCCTGTGCAAAACTGAGTGGGTTGGTTCCTAAGTTTCCAAAATGAGACATTGTCCCTTAGAGTCTCTACTTGCCTGGGTACTGACTGTGCTTCTTCCTTGCTTTGCATGGAGAGCAGAGGCAAGGTTCAGTAGCTCAGATTCCCAGTTTTTTCAAATGTTGACAGGTGAGGGAAATAACTTGCCTCCTTTTCTGTACTGCCTGAGAATGCAGGAAGGAATCCCAATTCACAGAGCTATAAGCATGAGCATCATTAGCTCAGACAAGACAATGGAAAAGCCAAAGTAAGGGGATAACAAACCTTAACATCTAAAATCAAGAGGACAAGCCTTTGTTGGGTGTCATGAGTACTAACATGATGCAGGGGGAAATTCACTATTTTTGCAAATTCCACTATCAGTACAGAAAGCATGCAAGAGAAATCATGCAAGTAGTTTGTCTCTTTTTAACATTTGTTCTCTTCATTGCAGTTTTGTAGTATGCGGAGGGAAAAAAGACTGGCCCTATTCAGGCGTTGCTCACTCTTGCTTTAGCCAACATTTGAGGGGGGGGTAGCACTTCTTTTCAATGGAAAACATATCTGTAGAGGAAAGGAGCTGTATTTTAAGGGGATTATGGAAAGGGTTGGTGATCAAGGCTCCCTGACTTTCAAGTTGGCAAAGACAGGATGAGTTGTCCCACATCCTGTCCTAGACAACTCGAAAGCTAGGGAGCCTATGGCCTCACCCCTTCCATCATCCCCACAAATAGGAGGGGATTGTGTTTTCAAGAATTCAGGGAATAAGGACAGCAATCGGGAAATCTAGAATTAAGAATTTTCTGTGCAAGTTGAGAAGGCCACTTAAATGCATTCCTATTTTAACACTCCACTGCAGACAGCATGAACAGAGAAAGTTTTATGAAGTAGTAGACCAAATTATGTTAAGTATGCTTCAACTACAAAGTTTCTATGGGCCACACTTTCCATTTCTTCTAGAAGGAAGAAGAATATTAGGATTTATGCCTGAAGATTGCATGTTTTTTTTGTTCTTTCTAGTCAGGAAGAACAGCACTCCACTATGCCTGTGAAATGAAGAACCAGTCCATTATTCCTTTGTTAGTTGAAGCAGGAGCCAATCCTTCCATAAGAGACAAGGTAAGGAAGTTATCATTAAAACAGGCATAGTTTTTCCATAGTTTGGCTAGGCTGGATCATTTAATGCTGAACTTCCTGAAGTGTGCATTGCGGTGGCCCGAGGGTCCCTGAGACACCAACCAAACCAGTCAGGAGCAACCTGGAAACTTTTCTTTGTTTTTTGCCCAGCCCGCAGTGGCACTGTGGCTGCTACTGTTCCAGCTGGCTTTAGCTCCATCCTACCTTTTTGTTTCCTGCTCCACACAACACTTCTTGCTCCTTTTCCTGAGCCACGGCCGCCACTCAGGACAGCCGCGAGTGGGAAAGGTTTCGTTCATTTTCTGATTTAATGGTTTCAATTATTGTAGCTGTTGTGAAAGGGGAACCTGTCTCTTTGTACACAGTTCTTTTATGAAAGAAAGGAGATTATCAGGGTGTGTGTTTTTTTCTCCCATGGAAGAAAAAGATATGGAAAATATTGATTGTTCATCATTCCCGCTACCACCTTCGGCAACTGAGGAAAATCTTAACATTGAACAAAACATCAGTGGCTGAAATCCTGTTGCTTAGCATAATAGGCTGCACTAGAATAGACCCACTGAATCAATGGGAATTTGGTGAGTCAACTCCTTCGTAAGCTCAATTGATTGAAATGGGCCGATTCAAGTTGCGACTTACTTTAGCATAGTAAGTCACAAGGCCCGTTTGAATCAACGGAACTTACAGAGGAGTTGAGTCACCAAACTCCCTAGAATTTATATTTGATTTAAAACCAAAAAGGGTTGAGGTTAGGCACAATTCAAAACAAAGCTTCTCAGGCACTGTCCGAAACAAAACTTCCGAACCAAAGGTTGTGGTCACACTAGCCTAAGTTACATTTAAGACATTTTTGACCTGCATTATCCTTTCATAACCATAGTGCTTGTAAAGGTTGGTTTCCATATTGATACTAGGGATGTAGAGCACTTGAATAAAATATGCTGAAAGTTAACAAGTTATATCTAAGGAGTTCTCTTTGGTGAAAATGGTTGTCAAAGGCCATTAAGCAGTGGAACAGTTTGCCTCTCGATGTTGTGGGTGCCCCATTGCTGGAGGTTTTCAAGAAAAGATTGGACAGCCATCTGTCCGGGATGGTATGAGGTCCAGGATGGTATGAAGTCTCCTGCCTTGGGCAGGGGGTTGGACAAGAAGACCTCCAAGGTCCCTTCCAATCCTACAACAATTCTATGATTCTGTGAAATGTGTGCTCCCTACACACCAAGGAATTAAATGGAACCCTAAATCTTCCTTTATTGCAATAAAAGCTGCATTCCAGTCTCTGGGGGGTGGGAATCACTCATATTTCCCTGAGTGATTTTTTAGAATCTCAATAAGAACCCCAATAAGAGTTTCCCCCCTGCTTCCACTGCCAGGTTTCTTCTGTTCCAATTACACCCAACCTTTCCCATTCACTGAAATTCATACATATTGCATTATTCATAGGTGCATGCATTTGCATATGTGTATCCATCAACTAAAGTGTGTTAGAGTATATTCTAGAGCGATAGCCAGTTTGTTCTTTCATAATTTTCAAATGTGTACATAATGACACAAATATTGTTTCCTTTGTGGAATATATCACCATCTCAGAAATGTATGAATTTGTGACCATGTAACTGTTTTGTTTTGAGTGGTGAAAATTGGGTAAACCTGGTTTAAAAAAAATATCCAGAGACTTCCCCACTTACTGCTAGTTGGCAACCAGCCCACTTTTAAATTGCTTTTACCGTTCTTTATTTGACATCTTTATTTCAGGAAGAAGAGACACCCCTGGACATAGCAAGAAGGCTGAAGTTCACCAACATAGAATACTTACTAAAAAAAGAATCATAAACTGTAATAGAATTTCCAAGAATGTTATGAGAGGAAAAGCTGTGGGCAGTTTACTATAGTAAGTGCCATTGATTTGACATTTGAAAGTGACACCATGTTTACAGTAGCAGATATAGTTATGCAAGTTAGGCAGACAGCATGAAAATTACTGTATCAATTCATGATCTGCTTCAAACAGGAAGACATGGCCAATTCTGCAGACACAGAGAGTTGTTTCCACCACCACCTCAGTTACCAAAAGTATGTCTGTAACGCTATGAGGAATATTATTTATTTCATACGTACTATCTATAAACATTGTAAATTCAAAGAAGATTCAGCAATAAAAGCCTGTTTTGTATTTCTTTTCATTTTATCATAAGGTATCTCCAACATGTTAGAAAGTAATAATGGACTTGAAAAGAAGCCAAATATATTCTTGTCCAATAGTGGCTAAATTAAGGAATAGGTCAAAAATTATGTAGTACAGGGGTTTGTGATACATTGCTCCCATTTCAACAAAACAGAAGAAAAAACACACCAAGAGACAAAAGGATAAGAACTATTTTTTTAAAAAAATATATTAAGCATAAGTAATGTGAGCCCCCATTATAGGGTGTGTAAAATTATGGATAAGGCAGACAAAGTGAATAGAAATACATTTTCTGAGTATTAGAATCTAGAATCATCCAGTGAGGCTGGTTGATGGAAGACACTGTAGAAATTAAACGTTGGTCCAAAAGGAAGAATAAATTAACACAGTGTATTGTTATAGACTGATGTTCAGTTCTTTAAGATATGGTTATGGCTATATAGACTTTCAATGGCAGCTAGTCATGTTGGCTGTGCATAACTATCAAAATGAGAAGCAATATGCATCTGAACATCAGTTGTGCGGCAACAAGAGTGGAAGAGGGCTATTGCTTTCATATGTCAGTTTTGGTTTCTATTGGCAGCTTCTTGTCCACAAATAAGACTATGGTCTAATCCAGCAGGGCTCTTCCTTATGTTTGTTGTATGGAGATCAGCATCAGAGCACACTGCATTGTAAACAACACAGACCTACAAGATCTGAAATTCAGGAAATGATAATAAGATTTCATCTTTCCTATTGGATGTGTTTTCATAATAAAAAAAGGTTTGTTGTATTTTTGCCCTCTCTTCAAAGAGTTGAGGAAATAAGGACTCAGGTATTTCAAGTTTGTTTCTGATCAATTAAACGTTTAAGGCAAAAAAAAGAATCTGAGGCTGAAAAACACTAGGTTTTAGAATGTGGCGGTCTTCATATTTACTATAACAATATAATTATGTGCAAGGAAGACATCCACCTGGATGTGTTTTGCCCACCTGTTGTGTTATTAAATACTAGCAAAGCTGTAAGAGGACGCCTATTGTAAAGTAAAGTAAAGAAAATAAAATGAAAGCTAGTAAGAAAGGGATAAGCTTCCTTATCTCTAAAGCAGGTTTTGTGAATTCTTTTTCTCTGTACCAGTGCTTGGTCAAAGAAACAACACTGAGAGGGATTATAGGTAATTATTTGTCAACTAATGACTGGCTCATTTACACTTGACTTTTAAGCAGAACCAATGGATACGAAAGTATTTCCCCTCCCAATTATATGTATGATCTCTGTGTACAGACTAATTTTTCAAGATTTGTAGGCATCACTTACTGAAATTACGGGTATGTCTTCAATACTTCAGTGACATAAGTGTACATGCACTTGGGTGTGTCAAGTTCACAGATGACATCTAGAGGTCCCCATTTGGGAATATGATTTTGATAAATGAAATTATTAATCCATGAAGATAACCTTGTTACATATTTTGGATTATTTTTACAATCCCTTGTTATGACATTGTTAAAAAACTACAACATGAATGTATTAATTCTATTATGTTATTTCCAAGCTCTGGTTGATAAAGCACACCCCTAGGACATTAGAAAACAGTGGTGCCCCGCTTGATGATTACCTTGTTTGACAAGGAAATTGCTTAATGATGAAGTTTTGCGATCCCTTTTGCGATTGCAAAAGGATGTTTTAATAGAGAAAAATTGCTTCACGATGATCAGTTCCCTGCTTCGGGAACAGATTTTTTTTTGCTTAATGACGATCAAAACAGTTGATTGTCAGGCGTTCAAAATGGCCACCCACTGTGTAAAATGGCTCCCCGTTGTGTTTTAGGACGGATTCCTCGCTTTACAGGCACTGGAAAATGGCCGCCCTATGGAAGATCTTCGCTGAACACTGAGGTATTTCACCCTTTGGAATGCATTGAACCAGTTTTCAACGCATTTCAATAGGATTTTTACTTTCGCTTGATGACGATTTCGTTCTACAGCGATTTTGCTGGAACAGATTATACTTGTCAAGCGAGGCACCACTGTATTCCCTTTGACCTCATCATGGTCACAAAGGGAATCTGACCAAGAAAGAGGAAGGGAGGCAGGGAGGCATGCATTCACAGGTGATTAATCAAGAAGGCTGTTTGTTCTGCAGGCCCTTAAAGAGTCTGCTCCAGTCTCCCATGAGAAAGAAGTTATATGTGACATATATGCTGCACATGGAGATCAGTTCAATTATCTCCATGTACACATGCTCAGTTTCATGATAGGACTAACAGTGAGCAAGGTTATGGTTATTTCTCCATCCTCTAAAGCAGGAACACTGATCTAAAGTATCAGTTCAGTTGCATTTACACTTCAGAACAGCAGGATTTCAAACACTGAATTGTATTACAGACTTGTCATCATCTCTGTGTACATCTGTTTCTTTAGCAAGGCTCCTGAACCTCAGCGCTCAGTTTCATGATAGGACTAACAGTGAGCAAGGTTATGGTTATTTCTCCATCCTCTAAAGCAGGAACACTGATCTAAAGTATCAGTTCAGTTGCATTTACACTTCAGAACAGCAGGATTTCAAACACTGAATTGTATTACAGACTTGTCATCATCTCTGTGTACATCTGTTTCTTTAGCAAGGCTCCTGAACCTCAGCTGCTGGAGTTAATGGATACTTCTTCATTGTATCGATGATATGCATATACATCTTTTCAGTTGCATCAAGACCCCAGATGAAGTCTAGGTGCTGCCATTCAGGAATGTGATTTTGATAAATGAGATTATTGATGCGTGAGGATAACACTGCTATTTCTTTTGGATCTGTACACAAGTCTTGCCCACCAGTCCAGAGTGCGATTGGTATTTTTATATCTTCTATTTTGTATACAGGAGGGGTTGTCTGGAGATAAAAACAAATACAAAGAGCTCAATTACACTGGGCATGCAAATATATAACAATATAGGCATCTGCACAAGATTTTAAATATGTAAAAAAGCTGAACAGAAATATTTGGAGCTGACTTGGGAGCAGGGGCACGGAGTGTACTATTTCTGTAATTTGAAGTCCCGTATAATCTGAGATATATATGAAGATATCTGAGATATGGACCTGTGTACTTGTGTGCTATGAACTTTTGAGTAGCCTCTGGGCTTTATCTGCATTTGACCATTTAGAAAAGAAGCATATATTTAAATTTGTGTTTCATGAAATTTGTCTTGACAGCAAGGCTGATGCAAAAATAAAGCTTGCTTATTATAGTATGAACATATACAACCTAATCATGCCAGAATGGAAATATCATATGATTCTGTCTCCTGAAGTTAGCAGCAATTTACAAAAGCTCATCCTATAATGCATTTATTATTCTCTAAGATGCAACAAAAGTCTTCAGTGCTTTTGCTGCAACAGGCTAATTTGAGTAGCCCCCCCCCCCCGCACTAGATATCATGAAATTATAAGTGAAGTTTTAAAGGATAAAAATGGTGAGAAAGTTAAAGAGAAGCCAAGATCTTTTCTGCATGTTTCAGATTGTCTATCAACTTGCTACAGAGAGCTTCTCCCAATAAGTCAGGCATGGGCATGTTTGGTGGGTCCAGGAGCCATTTTTCTCTCCCAGGATCCTCTGCGGCCAGTTTAGGTGTCTGTCAGGTGGAAGTCCCAGAAGGGAGAATGATAGGATTTGTAAGGGCCCGTTCCTTTCTGGAGTCCCATACTTCCTCTATGCTTTTCACACAACTCACTCATTCCCCCATTACTACTGCTCCCTCTTACCATCAGTTCTGGTGGACAGACCTTTGCTTTGCAGTTAGAAACATGGAAAGAGTGGACTGTGTTGCAATCAGTGGGTGAGGAAAAGGCTTTAATCTTGCCCTCATCCAGGTGATCCTGATTTAGATTGCTGTTTCCTTGCTAGTGAGGAGGAGGAGCAATCTGAACACCTTCTCCATATCCCATAGTCATACATAGCACTTGCAAGGTGAGAAAAGATTGCTCATTCCTGCTGTATGTGGCAGTTTATTGTGTTCATTTCTATGCTATTCTTCTGTCTAAGGAGACCCAGAAGGGTGTGCAACATGATTAGGACAATATAATGTCTCAAACCATACAATGAAATACGGCACTCTATAAAGAGCAAAAAAACAAAACACAAAACACAAAACACATTGTGTAATTAGAGGAAGCACAGATAAAATCAGTAGGATCTAAAAGCCTGCTGAGCAGTTCTGTCTTAACATCCCTTACCAAATCTTTGCAGTGACTCCCAAGCATGGAGCAATAACAGAAAAAGACATACTGTATATTCTGTTACTGGTTACTGGAAATCTATTCTGTTACTGGCACAAGTCACATCCAAATGTTTGCAGTATAAAAGCTGTATTTCAACACACAGTGCTAGTGGGACCGCATATTAAAAATGGGAAAATCTGATGCTTTTTCTCTTCTGCTAAACTGGGTAGCCTACTTGTTTTTGGCAATCCAACACAATCCAGCAAATGCTTCAGAGAGTAAAAGCGTATGGATTACAGAAGAAAATGTAGAAGGAGTGGGTATTAGTTCAATAACTGAGCCTCGTGGCGCAGTGGTTAAAACGCTGTACTGCAGCTAAAACTGTGCTCACGACCTGGGGTTCAAATCCCAGGTAGCCGGCTCAAGGTTGACTCAGCCTTCTATCCTTCCGAGGTTGGTAAAATGAGTACCCAGCTCGCTTGGGGGAGAGGCAATGTGTAGCCTGTATAATTAAATTGTAAACCGCCCGGAGAGTGCTTGTAGCGCTATGGGGCGGTATACAAGTCCAATAAATAAATAAATAAATAACTGTAAGAAGCCTTCCCGCCAAACATTACTCCAGTTCTGTGCCTAAGATTTTCAATTTCCTGCTGGGGACCAACCCAGCAAATGACTGAAGGAATAAAACACACCTTGGACACCAGCAAATATGTACAAGGATGTACAAGATCAGGCTTTACCAAATAAAGCAAAAAGCAAAGTATGCTGCTTGTATACTGCCCCATAGAACTTAAGCACTCTCTGGGTGATTTACAGTTTAATTATGAAGGCTACACAGTACTCAGATTATTGATCTCAGAAGGATGGAAGGCTCTGAACCTCTAGCCAGCTACCTGGGACTGAATCCATATCATGAGCAGAGCTTTGTCTGCAGTACTGCAGTTCAACCACTGCGCCCACAAGGCTCCAAATACTGTGCCAACCTGATCTGTGTGATTTGAAACAAGGCGCCACCAGTATTTTCTATGTAAAATATGTTGGCCAGATATGCCGTTCTCATTTCAAGAACAGAAATGCAGATGAACTAATCATTATTGTACTACTGCTATTTTACTATACTACCTGATTGTACTTCTCCATATTCTTTTCCTTGGAACCATAGTCATATGCTTGAAAGAGGTTTGCTTTATGTAACTGTAAATAAAGAGATTAAATTACATATGTAATTAAACAGTATATTGTTACAACATTGTACAATAGCAATACTAACCAATATATTGATAATAATTAGTATTTACATATGTCATCGTGCTATTTAAATAAATATATTGGTCATGTCTAACTTAAGTACCAGTTATTCCAGTGGATCTAAATTATAACTGACCTAGCCTGATCCAGCCTTTTTCATATTTTATCCAAAGTGCCACACACACACAATACTTACCACTCTTTTATAAAAGTCCTGTAAACAGACTTTCATACTATGCCCATACTTCAGGCACATTGTTGCCATTGCATTGTTATAATTATTGAGTATTGGTCTTGATGACTATTCGTGAAAAATTGTTTAATGTATTTGTGCAAATCTCATCTCTTTTTCTTTTCGGAAGCTCAGCATGCAAACATACACAAAGGACTCCCTGGTTGATTGGAAAAAAACCTACCCATGCATTGTTCCTGCAACAAGGTAGCAGTTATTGTACTGTAAAAGGTAAAGGTAAAGGTTCCCCTTGACAATTTTTTGTCCAGTCGTGGCCGACTCTAGCGGGTGGTGCTCATCCCCATTTCCAAGCCATAGAGCCAGTGTTGGACAATCTTCCATGGTCACGGAACGCTGTTACCTTCCCACCGAGGTGGTCCCTATTAATCTACTCGCATTTGCATGCTTTCGAACCGCTAGGTTGGCAGGAGCTGGGACAAGCGATGGGCACTCACTGCGTCGCGTGGATTCGATCTTACGCCTGCTTGGTCTTCTGACCCGGCAGCACACAGAGGCTTCTGCGGTTTAGCCCACAGCGCCACCACGTCCCTATAGTACTGTATTCCGCACAAAAAATGACTTTTTAATTTGTGCAAAAATAATTTTCACAAGGTAAAAACTCCTGCTGATAGACAAGAGAAACGATCACTATCTCGCACACAAGGACAAGATTAAAGATTCTTGTTCTTTTAAGTGAGAAAACAAATGAGGATTTAAATCCCTTTTCTGGATCCAAATCATAATGAATAAATAAAATATTTCGGACCAGATAGGCGGGGTATAAATCAAATAAATAAATAAATAAATAATAAATAAGTCAGTATACCTGGAACCAATGCAAAATATTTCTCACAGATGTTCCAGCAGGACTATGTGCTACATATACATCAAGTCGGCTCTGAAATAAAACAACTGTCAGTGATATTCTCTTAATGATCAGCATATAGTGGCTGAAATCCTGTTGCTCAGGTTACGTACTAAATCACAACCAGAGCTTCCCATTCGATCAATGGGGATTTGATGAGTCTCAGTCAGTTCTTCTGCCAATTTCACTGATTCAATGGAGATAGCCTACTTGTGACATAATTACACTAAGTAACAGGATTTCAAGCACTGTGTCTCTAAGATTCAATAGTCTTCTAATAATCTCTGAGGGAGTTTTTTGTTGTTGTTTTACCTTATCTAGCCATACAGTACTGTTCCAATAAAAGTCAAAATCGCTCATATTCAGAAGCTAATAGTACATTTTGCTTCCAACAGCTCTGCTCTTCCTCTATTCGGTGTGCCTCAGATTTTAGAATTAAAGTGGTTTTTAGTTCTTCATTATGAATCATAAAACAAAGTATCCTGGAATGCAACACACAGATATGAGAAAAACATGTTGCCAGGACAGAGGTATTTTGAGTGCAGCATGAATCAGAAAAAAATTGTTTTAATTTGTGGTTCATCAAAGTTGATGAATCATGAACAACAAATTTAATCAAATCGATTAGTCAATTCCTTTTTGCCTTTAAAACCCTGTAAAATGCCTCCCAAGCACCTAGAGACACCAACATTGCAGAGAAGTTTCCCCTGACTCTCTTCTAAAAACCCTGCAAGTACAGTGGTGCCTTGCAAGACAAATGCCTCGCAGGACAAAAACCTCGCAAGACAAATGGTTTTGGCGATGGGGGTTGATGCCTCGCAAGAAAAATGTTCCTATGGCCGTGCTTCGCAAGAAGAATGTTTTCCGTTTTTTGTTCCTGCCTCATGTTTGATGATTTTTAAATGTTTTTCTATGATGTTTAAAAAGTTTTTTGATTTTTTTAAAAAAGTTTTTTTAATCATCTGCACAATATGTATGGCTTTAAAGAGCACTTAATATACCCTTTGTAAACCAAATTTGACTTTGCTCTGACTTTTTTTGCCCATAGGAACACATTAATTAGATTTCAGTGCATTCCTATGGGAAAATGCATTTCGCAAGATGAATTTTTCACAAGACAACATTAACCGCGGAATGAATTAAATCCGTCTTGTGAGGCACCACTGTATAGTGAAATTTGGGTTTTGGACATCCAAGTTATACACCCACAAAGGAGACCCCCCCCCAAAGTTTCCCCCAGAGACCTAGAGACACCAAAATCACAATGAAGCTTCCCCTGATTCTCCTCTACAAAACCTCAAATTTGGGGAAGACTGGATTTTAGACACCCAAGTTATATACCAACAAAATGGGGCCGCCAGGAAACTGCCCTTTAGCAACTGGCTTGGGGAAACCCAATCCTTAACAAACTGGAAAGTATTGTAGAGGAGAGTCATGGGAAGCTTCTTTGTAATTTTAGTGTCTCTAGGTACCTGGGAGCCATTTTATAGCCCAACAAATCAATAAATCAAAAGTACTAAAAAATAATTGATTCACATTAGTTGGGGGCATTGATTAATATGAATGAATGAATATGAAATAAATGAATTAGTGATTTTTGATGAATTTTGCAATTCATTTTTCACTTTATAACCATCTCTAATTCTCTTCAGTAGCAGAAAGTAACTGACTGAAGACCCCATTTTGTAATTTTGTGATGCTTGTGACTTTGTCTTATGGCATGCAAGCTGCACATACCCAGTATTAAAAAAGGAAGTCTTTAAGCAGTGATAATCTGCCACCAATGACAGTGTTATTCTTATTATGCAGATGCAGCTGTGCAACAGGATGGTCAATGATTTGTATCACAGTGCATAATGTGACACAAGAGTCCAAGTCAGGTTTCTTCAATGAACAGCTGTTCTTCCATCAGAAGGTGTCCAGTCTCTTGAATTAGACCTTTCAAATACCATATTTCAGTCTTTTTATTGCATTTATAGGCTTTTAGTATTATCTGCTTGGCCACCTGGTGTCTGTTTTCTACACTCAGTTGACCTGGATTCAAAGTTTTTGTTTGTTTGTTTTTTAAACAGCAACTCTCCAGCCCTGACACAAGCCATGATAGAAGGCAATGAGTTAAGGTCAGTGAGTTAAGATCAATTGTTCTACAACCAGCCAGTCTTTCAGTACAAGTAACCAATGCATGAAACCACTGGTAGTTTGTTAGCTCTTACAGATTCACAAATTAAAACTACATCTCCCAGTTCATGGGTAAATGATGCAATTATGGAAAAAAATCTGGCTCTAGCTGGTTTGCAAATCTAAAGATAGCTGCTAGAATCTGTTTTACAGAGATGCCTGCAAACAGTGCACAGAAGCCAAAGAAGCCATGGAATTGAAAGGGAGGAGTAGAGTGCAACCAAATTAAGTCTCCATTAAAAAAAGCAGGATCTAAACTGCTGTTACATGTCATCAAGTCATTTTCAATGTAATCCAACCTTATGAATCAATGGCCTCCAAAAGGTCCTATCATTAATTGTCCTGCTAAGATTAGCGATGAAATAGTTGTGTACTTAATTATCCATTCTCATTGAGCTAAGTCTTTGCCACCAACATCCCAAGCTTATCTTCATAATGTCCGAGGGTGTTCTGTGGCTGCCATTTCATAAAAACAGAAATCTCCTATATACTGAACTGGACCACTGGTTCACCTATCCCAGAACTGTCAGCACTGACCGGTGGCAACTCTCTATGATTTAAGTCAGGAATTGTTCCTAACTTTGCCTGAAGACACTAGGGATTTATCCTTATACATGAAAAAGTATGCTATACCACTGAGTTATGTCCCTTCACTCTGTCTGCCGGTGTTGCCCTGGCCCACTTCTCACGACTGGGTGTTCTAAGGCAAACTGGTGTTCTCAGGTCTTCAGTGAGTGATGGTCCACCTTTATTCTATAGACTCTTTCCTTTAAGCATAATAACAGGAAATCCACTTTTTTGTCATTGTTCTATTAGACAAACTAGTCACAGCCTCTCAGCCTGGGAGTTCCACTCTTTCATAACTCTTCAGAATATTCCTGGCATAAACATGGCATCTTGTCCTCCTCATGCCAGGAATCCATCCTGGATATCTGATCAATGCCTTTGGCCAGTTTTTTCATTGTCAGTCTGAACTACATGAGTCCGATCGTGTTAGAGACAAAGGCAGAAAGCCTCTAAGTACAGGTAGCCATGCCTTTTAAATCCCTCAAGAACTTAGGCTAGTCATTCTCTCCGTCTTGGCCAGATTCATTTTCAAAGTGCTAAGCCTTTACGGGCATTGAATAAAGTCTGCAACTTGTTATAATGCCTTGATAAAATGGACCAGCTCCATACTATTATAGCTCATTGGATGCTGCTAAGATATATACATATAGCTGCTAAGGCATACATACTCCAGAAGATTAGCTGGAAAGCATGCATTTTGCTCAAAGAACACCAATACATATACCATGACACCCGCTATAAAGTGCCTGCTTCTTTCTCCCCATAAATGAGTTCCTTGAAATATAGGTATTTCTGAGAGAGCTCAATTTTGTCTTCCTTAAAATCTGAAGGAGACCTCAGTCCCAGAGAAAGTGTCACATTCTCTCCAGTTTCATGCAAATCCACTGAATTAAACCCAAGCTTTCCTTAGATTTGCCTTACATTTTACCAGGATTAGATTCCAACTTACCATGTTTAAATTTGGGGCGTTATATCCAGTTATTGTAAAAACAATGTTGGCACAGAATTTCGGCTGACGGGTACACAACGCAATAATTGGCCTTCTCAAATATGAAGGGTACTGAAATATTCCTTTGTTGCCAAATATAATCTGTAATGGGGGTGGGGAAGAAAGCTAAGAATCAGTTTCCACAACATAGGAATGCGAACATATATCAGCCTTGTTTCACCTGGACTTCTGAATATTCCATAAGCATACTTGATCCTTCCCATTTCCTTACAGTATTGTTTTGGATTATTTTTTTGTGTATTTACAATATACAATATTGTGTACTCAATATTTCTGCAACTTTTTCTATTTTTCTAATACGTGCATTTTTGTATGTGTTTTCATTGACTGAGACATGCTATTAGTAGATATTTTAATAAGGTATCCATGAAATGGTGTGTTTTTTTCTCTCTGAAACACACTGTGAGCCTCATGACTTTTATGTATTTCCAAGACAAGATATATTTCCTTCTACCAGCAGTATCAGAGGGTGTAAAATAAACAGGCAAAAGAAATATCAATCAGGATTCTACAGTATGGTGTAAAGGCCCCGCTCCACACTCCCTGTGATCCCTCCACTGCCATAGTTTCTTACAAAATGCATATTTTATTGAATACACACACACACACACAAACACATCTTAAATCTAAAGAAATCTCCTTCAAACAGGAGGGGGCACCCTCCAGAAATCTGAGAAGTGTCCATGCCCATGTATGTACCTTGGAGGGCCACAATCCCTGTGATCCCTCCACTGCCATAGTTTCTTACAAAATGCATATTTTATTGAAAAGGTCCCTTGTGCCCTCTCGTGGTCAAAATTTGTTTTAAAAATAAAAAAGGAGAGTGAAAGGTGCTGGCCCCCCTCAAAATATGACAAAATTGGCCCCCCCCATTTATTTCCTCTGTAGATTCAGAGGGACGATCTGACCTCTCTTTTAAAAAAAAAATCCCAGGGTTGTATAGTGCTTGCTGAGAAAATGCATTTGGGTTCCTCGGGAGCTTCACACAGGTTGCAAGAGAAATACATAGCAGAATACAGTGGAAATGAGACCAAAGTATTGCACCGTGCTGTGCAGCTTTCTTTCCTTGTGAAATCCAAGTTTAACCATTTTAGCATGTTACTTTTTTATATAAATATGTGCACTGTAGCACTTAAGAGCTACACTTCAGCAAGTCTCCTGTCTGCAAATGGATAATATATATGAAACACTATTAACTCGTGAAAGAACTACACAACTATTACATATATTACGTACACACTAGGTACTAACCATGAAGCTACAAATTAGCATGTTGGGAGAAATCCCATTATGTTCAGCAGATTTAAGTCCATATGATCTTTGTCATGTGTATACTAGCAACCCCATGCATGTTATAAACGAAAAGTGGGATAAACAAATAGGGCACATGATTTGACTACACATATCAACGAACATAGAAGGAGTGCCCAGAAAGATTTACCTGGAACATAGTTTTAGGAAGCCTTGAAAGTTTTAGAGCTGGTGTTCTTGCGAACGTAATTGTGCCTGCAAATCCCATTGCAAAAAATACTCTGACTCTTTCAGCCAATTTTGGCCGTGTAGAGAATGCTATGAAACCTGAAAAAAAATAAGAGCAATCCTAAGCAAATACACTGATAGTTTCTTCAGCAAGGTAGAAGTATACTCAAAACTCTTTCCAGGTAGTATGGATGCCTTTCCTCTTTAATGCTATATTATTGATGAACATTGGAGCTAACATATACAATGGTGCCTCGTTACACAGTTACCCTGCATGACAGTTTTTTCACTAGACACTGACTTTTTGCGATCGCTATAGTGATTCACAAAACAGTGAGTCCTATGGTAGAATTTTGCTGGACAATGTTTGGTCCCTGCTTCGCAAACTGATTTTCGCTAGACAACTATTTTGACAGCTCCCTCTGCACTCGCAAAACAGGTGTTTTCGGGACCTAAGCTTCACAAGACAGCGATTTAAACAGCTGATTGGCGGTTCGCAAAGCGGTTTTCCTATGGCCGATCTTCGCTAGACAACAACGATTCTTCCCCATTGGAACACATTAAACAGGTTTCAATGCATTCCAATGGGGAAATGCTTTTCGCTAGACAATGATTTCGCTAAACAGCGATTTCAGTGGAATGGATTATCTAGCGAGGCACCACTGTAGAGGGTTAGTGTATATGTGCATGTGAACTAATCAGAAGACTTAGCTTGACTCGGTGGCACATACTTTTCATGTCCCAAATTACAGGTTCAATCCTTGGCATCTAGGTAGGGCTAGAAAAGACATCTGACTGTGGAGAGCAACTTCCAATCCAGGGAGACAATAGCGAGCCACAAGGAAAAATGGCCTGACCTGGTATATTGCTGTGTTCCTAAGATTATACAGAAAAAGTGCAATTGAACACAGAGAACTAACAGTAGTTTGGCAATGGAGATTGTGGGCAAGAGAGAGGCTTCTAACAAAATTGTTGATTTCTGCATATCGTTCTATATTAGTGGACTTTCCCAGTATCTTCAAGGCATATAAAGAGAGAAAAGACAAAGGAAAGGGAAAATAAAAAGGTAACGATTATGAAGGGAAGAGACACTTCTGTAGTGGTGGCCTGCAGAAAGTGACCATGGTTAAGATTATAAGAGAAGATGAAGAGTACATAGACAGAACTCTTGAGCAGCAGCAGCAGCAGCCAAGAAAGGCACTGGAAGTGGAAGAACAGCAAGACAAAACAAAGGAGAATGCTGAGGACTTTAAACGCCATGGAAAAGGGTCACATTTAGGAGCAAGAGAAGGAGAAGACACTCTTCAGCAGTGGAATTGCAAAACTGCTTTCAGATTCTTGGAGACTTGGTAGAAGTGGCAGTAAGGGGAGCTCTGGGAGGAAGTCACCATGAGCTCTTGATTTCAGAGGAAACGAAAGCTGAATATAGCCACACATACTGCTGATTTTAATAGACCCAAACAATGATAAGTAAAGTCCCATGGCAGGAGATCAACGAAACTGCAAACAATCTCAACAATTACAAACAATCACAATAAGACAAAAATGTGGAAGACAGCCCTCCCCCCCCAAAAAAAGATGAAGGTGGCTTCACAAAAATCTCGGAAAATACCTGAAAACGAAAAAAGGACACATATAGGATGTAGAAAGAAGGCCAGGCCACAAAGAAAAGGCACAGGCAGGTAAAAAAGAATGGCAAGGAAAGCGGAAGTTGAGAATGAGCTGCAATTAGTAACAGATGCTAAAAGCAACCAAAATAAGGTGCATGCATAGCAAAAGAGAAAAAAAAAACAGTGGTTCAGCTACTCAATAGGGATGGCAAGATGATAAGAGATGGCAAACAAACGCACAAGTGTTCAGTTCCTACTTTAGCTCAGTTTTCTCCAGAAAGAGTATCTATAATTCTCCAGGCAAATGTGAAGTACAAGTAGAAGGGAAAGTATTGCAGCTTGAAATCAATAAACAAATCATTGAGGGATACCTTCTTACTTTGAATGAGTTCATATAACCAGAACTCAGTCAATCACATCCAAGAGAATTGAAAGAAATGGCTGAAAATTTCTCAAAACCATTGTCTATTATTTTCTTTAAATCATGCAGAATGTGTGAAGTGCCAGATAAATGGAGTAGGCTAATGTTGTTCTAACAAGCATGGCTAACAACAAGGTGAGTGGAGGTGATGGTATTCCAGTGGCCAGAGAGTTCCAGAAAAATATCTACTTCTGCTTCATTGACTATGCAAAAGCCTTTGACTGTGTGGACCACAGCAAACTATGGCAAGTGCTTAAAGAAATGGGCGTGCCTGACCACCTTATCCATCTCCTGAGAAACCTATATGTGAGACAGGACACAACAGTTAGAACTGGATAGGGAACAACTGATTGGTTCAAAATCGGGAAAGGAGTACGACAAGGCTGTATATTGTCTCCCTGCTTATTCATATGCAGAATACATCATACAAAAGGCAGGACTGGATGAATCCTAAACTGGAATTAAGATTGCCAGAAGAAATATCAACAACCTCCAATCTGCAGATGATACCACTCTGATGGCAGAAAGTGAGGAGAAATTAAAGAATCTCTTAATGAGGGTGAAAGAAGAGAGCGCCAAAATGGTCTGAAGCTCAACATCAAAAAAACTGAGATCATGGCCACTGGTCCCATCACCTCCTG